TGACAGAGCTATGGCTTGCCCAAGGTCATCCAGCAGGTGCAAGTGGAGGAGGGGGGAATCAAACCCGGTTCTCCCAGAGTAGAGTCCGCGTACTTAACCACTACACCCCACAGAGTAATCTCTTCCTGAGTATGATCTGGTGCTATGGTCTGGAAAGGGATCGTGGCTCTGGGGAAGACCCTCTACTTTGCACGCGGAAGGTCCCCGGTTCGATCCCCGGCATCTCCAGTTAAAAGGATCAGGGAGTCGGTGACGTGAAAGACCTCTGCCCGAGACCCTGGAGAGCCGCTGCCCCATCTTCCTTTGAACTTAAATCGTTGAATGATGGAGATTTTTGTATCAGCATGTCAGAGCAGAGGCAGAACACCAGAATAGCCGGAAATGGTATTTCTTGGGGAGGGCAACGTTCTGCCTGGCTTGTCGCAGGTCCCAGGTTCACTCCCCGGCATCTCCAGTTAGAAGGATCAGGTAGCCGGGGATGTGAAAGACCTCCGACCTGAGACCCTGGATGGCCACGGCCAGTCTGAGTAGGCAATACTGCCCTCTCCCGTTCCTGGAGGAATTGTATAGTTCTCGATGCTTGAAAAAAGCAAAGAACATTCTGCAGGATTTGTCACACCCTGAACACTCCCTGTTTGAACTGCTGCCTTCGGGTAGAAGATATAGGACAATTTAAAAAAGGACAAACAGATTAAAAAACAGTTTTTATTCGAGAGCTATTATTGCTTTAAATGCTGAATGAAATTGGAATTTGGGTGACATTGGTGGTTTAAGTTGCAATGTGAACTTGTTATTATTATTATTATTATTATTAATAATGGTCTGATTCAGTAGAAGGCCGCTTCAGAGGTTCGTGCGCTCCAGAGGCCCTTCGTCCCACACCCTCACACTCCCCACGCGGGGTTCGCTCACCTCCAATGACGGGCACGTGGAGGTTCTCCGTGCGAGACACCACCTTGGGAAGGTCGCAGGGCAGCAGGATGATAGGGTCAAAGAAGGTCGAGTGGGGGGCGGCCACCAGGATGGGAGCCTCGAGCCGCGATGCCCTCTGACCCCGCACTCGTATCCGCATGAAGCCCAGCAAGAAGAACATCAGGCGGCTCAGCAGGTAGACGGAACCGTGGGAAATGGTGCTGGAAAAGAAAGCGGGGGGGAGGGCAAAAACCAGAGAGGGCGTCAGGAGAGCTGCCTGTAGCCAGCAGCATGGTCATCGGCAGAGCCCAAGGGTCCTAACGGCCCAATCCTATTCAAAGTTATGCAGACCGGAAGGCCTGTAGTTCGGTAGTTCGAGACCCCAGTGCCGCGTGACGGAGTGAGCTCCCGTCTCTGGCCCCAGCTCTTGCCAACCTAGCAGTTCGAAAGCAAGAAACTGCAAGTAGATAAACAGGTACCACTTCGGTGGGAAGGTAACAGCGTTCCGTGCGCCTTGGTGTTTAGTCATGCCGGCCACATGACCACGGAAACGTCTTCGGACAGCACTGGCTCTTCGGCTTGGAAAAGGAGATGAGCACCGCAAGCCTAGAGTCGGATTCGACTGGCTTTCAAGCAAGGGAAACCTTGACCTTTATTTTTATTTTATTGTGTTTTTTTTTAATTATTTTTCATATTTATTTCCCTCCCTTCCCAAATGGGCTCAGGGTGGTTAACATCAAAGCATATAACAATAAAAACCAGTTAATACAATTAATCTGAAAACAACTAAACCCAGAAAATCAGTTAAAAGATGGCGAGCTATAATTCAACCCCCCGCCCCAAACTGGAGTCACATCTACATAACCCCAAGTCTCCTTATACGTAGATGATCCAGGCCGCCTCTGTGCAGGGCAGTCTCTATATGGGCTCTGTACAGGGAGGAGAAGAAGAAGAAGAGATTGGATTTATACCTCACCCTTCACTTGGAGTCTCAGAGCGGCTTACAGACTCCTTTCCCTTCCCCTCTCCACAACAGACACCCTGGGAGGTGGGTGGGGCTGAGAGAACTCTGACAAAAACTGCTCTTTTTCAAGAACAGCTGTGCCAGAACTACGGCTTGCCCAAGGTCATCCAGCCAGGTGCAAGTGGAGGAGAAGAAGAAGAAGAGATTGGATTTATACCTCACCCTTCACTTGGAGTCTCAGAGCGGCTTACAGACTCCTTTCCCTTCCCCTCTCCACAACAGACACCCTGGGAGGTGGGTGGGGCTGAGAGAACTCTGACAAAAACTGCTCTTTTTCAAGAACAGCTGTGCCAGAACTACGGCTTGCCCAAGGTCATCCAGCCAGGTGCAAGTGGAGGAGTGGGGAATCAAACCCGGTTCTCCCAGATTAGAGTCCGTGCACTTAACCACGACACCAAACTGGGAGGCCAGCTACTTGGGTGTCCTCCACCTCAACTAAAAAGCCTGGCGGAACAGCTCCATTTTGCAGGCCGTTGATTGCAATGGGCTGGAGTAACTCCACACAGAACTGCACTGACAGATTTGGAAGGAACCTCAGAGGTCATCTACGTCAGCCCCACGTCCAGTGCCAGAACCTGACCCGTGCTGAGCGTACACTTACTTCCTCCATCCAGAGAACGGTTCCTGCAGTGTCTCCTCCGGGAGCCCCACCACCTGGAGAAGGGCGAAGGGCCAGATGAGGAACAGAACGACAAAGGCCAGGGCGACACGGATCGGGGCCAGCACCGCCCCCAGATACTTCCTCCATCCAGAGAACGGTTCCTGCAGTGTCTCCTCCGGGAGCCCCACCACCTGGAGAAGGGCGAAGGGCCAGATGAGGAACAGAACGACAAAGGCCAGGGCGACACGGATCGGGGCCAGCACCGCCCCCAGAACGTAGAACTGCAAAACACGAAGCGGAAGAGGCGTCATACGATGCAACTGGATGCACTCAATTTCTTTCTTTTTTTTGGTATTTGTGTGTGTGTGCGTGCATGCATGCGCCTGGAAGTCATGGTTGACTTCTGGTGACCCCTACTGGGGCTTCGATGTTCCAGAGAGGTAGCTTGCTATTGCCTGCCTCTGTGTCCTGGCCCTGGAATTCCTGCTTAGCTTCCGAGATCGGGGTTGCCTGGATGAGCTCAATTGCTGCGTGAGACGTTAGAGAATACGAAATTGCAGAGCCAGAAAGCACGAAGAGGGCATCAAAACCAGCCGTCCAACATCGTCTCATTCTGCAAGCTTAGCCCACATCTAGGGCTATTAACTTCTCAAGTGAAGGATAAAAGGGGTGGTGGTGGTGGTGTTTATTCAAAGCGTTGATTCAACAACCCCCAGGAAAATCTCACCAACAATGCAAAATAAAGATGAAAATAACGTTCCAGGAGAAACAACGTGATTTTAGGTAAAGGTAAAGGTTCCCTTGCTCGAAAGCCAGTCGAGTCCGACTCTAGGG